GTTGAATAAAGTAGGAAAAAAACCAAAATCATTGCCATTGAATCGATTTTGACTTGTAGCAACCCTCTTTGGGTTTCTGAGGTGGTAAATCTTTATAGAAGTAGATTGCCCAGTGTTCTTTCTGCAGAGTGGCTGGTGGATTTGAACCACCAACCTACTGGTTAGTAGTGAAGTGCTTTAGGCACTATGCCACCAGAGCTCCAGTTGAATGCTGCTCAGAAAATGTCATAAAGTGTTGATCACATTTGTTTTCACATAGATTAAGGAAAGCCCTTAATTCCTGACATTTTCCAATTAAGCTATTAATCTTCCAAACACAAACACACTGGTATTGAGTCAGATCCAACTCATAGGGACCCCTCCTTGGGTTTCTGAGGCAGTATCACTATGGAAGTAGATTGCCCAACCATCCTTCTGAGGAGTGGCTGCTGGGTTTGAACCACCAGCCTTCTGGTTAACAGTCTAATGCCTTAGGCACTACGCCACCAGAGATTCTTATTAATCCTTGTTGTTGTTGTTGTTGTTATTTGCCATCAGGTTGGACCTGACTCACAGCGACCCCTCCTTGGGTTTCTGAGGAAGTATCACTACGTAAGTAGAGTGCCCAACCTTCCTTCTCAGGAGTAGCTGGTGTATTAATCCTTAGGATATTACTATTAAAAAGCAATTCTTCTAGACCACTTGACTTTCTGTAATAAACACTACAAATCCCTAAAGGTTTTAGAAAGGAAAGAGGTGAACCACAGAGGAAGTTTTGACAGATGTGTGATTTGGGCTTGGCTTTGAATGAGAAGAAATTATTAGAGGCAAAGAGAGCATGAGGCAGGTCACAAAGGTGAGAGACTGATTTGAGTACAATGAGCATAGAGGAACACTCCTGCTTTGAGAACTAAGTTGCCACCTTTAAAGATGGGTCTTCAAAATACCATTTCACAGTCTACTGGTGGGAGCTCGGGTAGCATAGTGGCTAAGACACTTGCCTGCTAACCAGACGGCTGGCGGTTCAAACCCACCAGACACTCCTCGGAAGGAAGGTTGGGCAATCCTACTTCTGTAGTGATACTGCCTCAGAAACCCAAGGAGGGGTCGCTATGAGTCGGGTTTGACTCGACGGCACACAACAACAACAACAACAGTCTACTGGTATCCTTTTCTTTGCCTTTCACAGTGACTGTTCCAAACTGTCACCAAATTGTCTTATTCTCAATAGATGATCTTGCCTCTTACTTTACTAAAAATCATTCTATATTATTTTATTCATCTCAGATTTTCTCTCCTTATCCACTCCTGACTCAGAGTAGTCTCTTTTTCTTTTCCTACCTCATTTTCAATGTGTCTTCCACCTTGAAATATTCCCTCAATCTTGCCAAAACCTGGAGTTCCTTTTTTCTCCTTTAGTAAGATGCCAAACTTTTCAAATGCATAGCCTCTGCTTCTTGCCTACACTTTCTCATGAGTCACTCCCCATATGTCCCCCAATCTGTCTTCTATCCACCCTTCCTTCTGAGGACACACCTCTTTGAGGCATGACCTTATCTCCAAAGAATTTCTTTAATTCATCTCTTATGATTTCTCTGCCACATTTAACATTGCTGTTGATTTGCTTTCTGAAATACATCTCAGGTCTTTCTTTTAAAATTTTTTTTATCTTCCCATCTTTAATCATCTTACCCACTCTCATGGATTTAACTACACCCTGTAAGAGGACTCAAGGAGGCCTGGTGTCACAATGGTTAAGTACTTGGCTGCTAACTGAAAGGTTGTCAGTTTGAACCCATTGGCTGCCTCTGCAAGGATAAAAGACCAGGTAATCTTCTCCCATGAAGATTACAACCCAGGAAACATTATGGGTTCTATTCTGTCATATAGGGTTGCTATGAGTCAAAACCTATTTGCTGGCACACAACAACAGAAGAGGACTTCTGTCATAATTACATCTTTAGCTCTGATTCTGTCCTAAAATGAAGACTTACATTTCCTTGTTGCCCACTGGACATCTTGCAAGTACTTCACACTTGACACACCCAGTAGGGAACTTGTAATTTCCTGCCCAGAAGTTTCATCTTCTGACTGCAACATGAATCCAGGAGTAGCCCTTCAGACTCACCTTTAAATGTTTCCTCTTTCTCACCCTCCACTGTTCAATCAGTTGACGATTTGTTTTGATTTTAATGTTGCAGTGTCTGCTGCTACTTTTCCGTTTCCACTGCCACCCAACCAGTTCAAGTCAATACTGTCTTTTGGATGGACTACTGCAGTTGCCCTTCCATTGGTCTCTGTCTTTATTCTTTCCAAACTTCAACTATACTAACCCAACCAAACCCACTGCCATAGAGTGACTAATAGAAACCCCATATATTATAGAGTAGAACTGCTCCGGAGGGTTTTCTAGGCTGTTATCTTCATAGAAACAGTTTGCCAGACCTTTCTCCAAGAGGACATTGAGTCAGGTTGAATGTCAACTTTTAGGTTAGCAATCGAATGCAAATCATTTGCACCACCTATGAACCTACCATATAGCACTGGGCAAATCAGCTGCAAAAGCCCTCTTTCAAGTGCTGAAGAGCAAAGATGTCTCCTTGAGGACTAAGGTGTGCCTGACATAAGCCATGGTATTTTCAATCACCTCATATGTACGTGGGAGCTGGACAATGAATAAGAAAGACCAAAGAAGAATTGATGCTTTTGAGTTGTGGTACTGGCAAAGAATGCAAAAAGTACTGTGGTCTGCTAAAAGAACTAACAGATCTATCCTGCAGGAAGTGCAGCCAGAATGTTCCTTGGAAGCAAGAATGGCCAGACTTTGTCTCACCTACTTTGGTCATGTCAGAAGGGACCTTCCCTGGAGAAGGATATCGTGCTTGGTAAGGTGGAGGGTTGACGAAAGAGGAGAAGGCCCTCAACAAGATGGACTGACACAATGGCTACGGTGATGGGCTCAAGTATAGCAGGGATCGTGGATCTGGCGCGGGACTGGGCAGTATTTTGTTCTGCTGTGCTATGAGTCAAAGATGACTCAATGGCACCTAACAACAGGAACGTACCAACCTATACATATAATTGTTACAAGAGAAATCTTTCTTTATAAGCTGTCTTTATCACTTCCTTGCTTGAAAATCTTCCATGTCAACTCACTGCCTGCCAAATAAAGTTAAAATTCTTTGAACATGCCATTCAAAACTCTCCATCAACTGGCTTTAACTCATCTTTCAAGCCTTGCTCCCCCAACTTACCATGTTTCATCAGGCCAATCTAGGTGATGTGCTATTCCCTAAACATGCCCAGTTACCCTGCCTCCATCTTTTCATAAGTAAAATCTTTTCAGGATTCAGTGCCTTCCCTTTTAAATTATTATTAAAAATTCATTTAAAAGCATTAAAGAAATCTTTAAAAAAAGAATAAACACATATAATTTCACCATTCTAAGACAACTCTTTTCATCTTTGCCTATTATTGCTTGGCAGATGAGTAAACCTTCTTACTCCACAAGAGTAAGTGGTGTTTGTCATTCTTTATCATATTTTCACTTAACATTTTATCTTTAATATTTTCTGTTCCTTCATGATCACTACCATAAAAGGCTGCATTATATCTCATTTACCATAATTTATTTTAAAATTTCCTAAGACTGGACATTCCTAATATTCACAAGATCTTGCTGTATAGAGAATATAGACAATGATATAATGAAGAGCATCAAGTCAAAATCGTTGTACTCCAAGTTGATTAATCCTAGGAGTTTATTTACTTGGTTAAAAAATTATGACCTTCTTACTCCATTTCCCAAACATTCTTCCTGCCTAATCTTTATCTCTAAATTCTACTTGCTTTTGAAGACTCAAACAACTATGACTTCTTCCTTGAAGATTTTCTTGCCTCCTCCTCCCACAAATAAGTGATCCTCTTCGAGTCTGAATCGTATAACACTGTTCTCTGAAGAGTATGTCTTTCATCTAACCATCCTAAAATAATGTTATATTTAGGTGTCTTGTGTCTACTAATAGACTGTAAACTACTTGAGAGCACAGTCCATTTCTTATTCTCCTTGGTAGGGAGCTCTGGTGGTGTAGTGCCTAAGGCATTTGACTGCTAACTGGAGGAGGCTGGTGGTTCAAACCCACCAGCCACTCCTTGGAAGGAAGATTGGGCAATCTACTTCCATAATGATACTGCCTTGGAAACCCAAGGAGAGGTCGGTATGAGTCAGGAATGTCTTGATGGCAGGGAGTTTGGGGTATTTTTTAGTTAGTTCACCTAGAGATTTTCTATTCTTTTAAGTTGTCTGTGTATTTTGGTTATATTTTATCCAGAATTCCTATGTATGTCAAGGGAGGTCAAGGTGGAAGATGGAACAAGCTTCCTATGTTAGTCAGCTCAGTCAGACATATTAACAGAAAGGATTATTTCTTCTGCTCTCTAAAAAAGGAGAAAAATATATTCACATGTGTTACACAACCTCAATTCTACCCTTGCAGTGCTGGGTTTCATCCAAAAGGCAGTTACATTACTGCAGAAGATGTGGAAACCTGGTTTCATAAACAGGATATAGGGGAGACACAGGAGAGAGCTTGTTTCCTAACTCTACTTCTGTCTCAATGAGTCATTTTAAGGATATAACTTCTATGTCATTTTCTCTAAATGAAAGGTCAATTTTTGTCTCTTAATTTTTGGTTAATTCAAGGCTAATGTTTTGCCTCATGATCTGTGTTTCATATTAAAATATGAGGCACACTCTGAGCTGAGATCTATGCTTCCCCGTTCTCCCTACAGAGAGGAAATAAAATCCTCCACTCCCCATTAATGTGTAGCTGGTTCTGATCTTAAGCAGACAACTACAACACTTGGCCTTTCTACATTCTGAGTAGTGCACCATACAACTGCACTCGATTAATATGTAGTTGCACTTCAGCACGATGAGAGAGAAATCTGACACCAATTTGAGAATCAAGAAAGTTTATTCTTAGGTGTATTTCTATTACTTGGTCTGTTCAGCTGCAAAGTTAAAGCAAACTTTTTGCTTCCAACTCAATTTTCTTCATCTCCAGAGAATATTTCAATTTCTCCAATACGAGGCCACATTCCTTTAATCTTTCCATAAAGTTCTCTGTGGCTTGACAGAGATCCTTACTCTCCTGAAAGGCAATCTGAAGAAAGAAAATTTTTTTAAAGTTACAACTTAATAACTGAGACCCTGCTATGTATACTGAGTATATAGCACTTAGGTCCCTAAATGGTGGCTCAGAAAAGGGTTTAAGTAGGGATTTGAGTCTTCATCACGAATCATTGGAATTTTCTGGAATATATATATATATATATATATATATATAAGCTCTGGTAGCATAGTGGCTAAAGCACTTGACTGCTAACCAGAAGGCTGGCAGTTCAAACCCACCAGCCACTCCTCGGAAGGAAGGTTGGGCAACCTACTTCCGTAGTGATACTGCCTCGGAAACCCAAGGAGGGGTCGCTATGAGTCGGGGCCGACTCGACGGTACATAACAACAGCAACATATATATATATTCACTTAATAGTAACCCACTATTAACTATAAACCAAAAGAAGAGTCTCAATGAAAATTGATCTGCTCTGTGGTTTTAGAAGTCTAGAAGGATTTTAGAGACTTTTCATAACAGTTCTTCCAAGTCTTGGACATTGAGCTTATGTACCTTGCTCTCTCTATACAAGCACACAAGATAACACCTCGACCAACAGGGATATAAATCATCTGTGATGATGATTGTGAATGGGAAGTTCCTTATATAAAAATACATATTAATCTAGTAGTTCACATGCTCCATTCCACAATCAAATCAAGGCCTTTAAAAATATTATTCCAAATTGAGTAGATATTTATTGAACACGTGCCAAGAACAATGCCAAGCCCAGAGATACAGCTAGGAACAAGTTAGTCATGATCCCACTACTTACAAGGGCCTTCTCAAACTCAGTTTGTGGGGCTCGTTCGCAGACTGGAAGGGTACCACTCCACTCCCCATCAATGCACTGCTGGTTCTGGGTGCCCACCAACTGGTACCTGAACAGAAATTAGAACGCAACTACACTTAGCCTTCCCATCTTCTGAACAAGGCAACTAAGCCTGATTTTGTGTAGTTGTATTTCATGCTGTGATAGAAACTTCCCCTGAGACTTAATGCATGCTTATGTTATCCCGGTATTACAAAACACTTATAAAGTAATACTACTCTCCAGGGGTAGAGGTGGGGAGAACCAAATGATGAGCCAACTCATAGAATACAGAGAGCTGAGAAATTCTGAACCTATATGTATACAAGTTTTAGAGGTGGGAAGGGTGAAGGAAGAAGTGCTAGATTATTCAATAACCTCAGAAAATATCTGTCAGCTGTGCTTTAAAACGGTGTAGAAATTTAGAGCCATCCTTCAAATAAATCCTTGTGAACAGATGAAAAGGGAGTAGTAGCTTTTAATCTGAAAAACATGAGAGTTAACTACAAAATCTGTTGCAGATATATGATGAGATTGTCACGCCAGTGAGGCCACATGCATCTAAGTTAATAAGATTAAGTCAAGGGAAAGGAAAGGTGAGGTGATCTGTATGCTGGGTGACGAAACTAAACCATACCAGTTGCCATTAAGTCTATTCTGACTCATGGTGGCCCCATAAGCTGCAGAATAAAACTGTGCTCCACAGACTTTTCAAGGTTATGACCTTTCAGAAACAGATTGGTAGGGCCTCTGGCTGGCTTTTAGGTTAGTAGTTGTACCACCCAGGGACTCCTGCTGGGTAACCAGGCAGTCTAAATTATGGCTTCAAACCAGTTCCTCCCAGTTTAGTCATGGCCACCAAAGCAAACCCAGGACAGACTGGACTTTGCAAAATGTGGGTACCTGGAATGATAACCAAAACAGAGAAAATTACAGCTCAATGCCCTGCTAGAACCTTAATCTCCCTCTTAGAAAACAAAGGCGGCATGAGCATTGCATAGTAACCAAATCTCTTGACCATCAGAGTGGGAAACAATGGTGCCCTACTCAAAGATGGTGGCTGACTGTACCACTTTGAGTGTGTCACTCTCCAGAGTTCTGGCAACAATCCAATCTCCTGAATCAGGCCCCTGAAGGGGTTCACTATGCCTCTTCTGAGTTTCCCATCCCAGCTCTTTGACCTGTAATTTTTCTCATTCCAGTTATCATTCCAGGCACACACATTTTGCAAATTTGAGTCCATTCTGGTTTCACTTCATTGGCCATGAATGAACCAGGAAGAACTGGTTTGAATCCCTGGTCTAAACTAAGGCTAGACTTTAATTAGGGTGCTTAAAAGATCTGTACTTGACATCTTTCTATTTCTTCACTTCAGGAGCTCTGGTAGCGTAGTGTCTAAGGCACTGGACTGCTAACCAGAAGGCTGGCAGTTCAAACCCACCACCACTCCTCAGAAGGAAGGTTGGGCAATCTACTTCCATAGTGATACTTCCTTGGAAACCCAAGGAGGGGTCTCTATGAGTCGGGTCCAACTCAATGGCAAATAACAACAACAACAATTTCTTCACTTCTGTGTGTTGTGTTTTTGTGTAAGCGTATTGGTCTGTGGTTCTTAAAAAAAATACATATTTTTTCATACTTTATCTTAACTAAAGGGGAAGAAAAAGATACTGATAAGGATAAACAGGGGAACCAGTATGTCCCCTATGGACTGAAGAGAGCTAGCAGTGGGCTAAAACAGCTCTCAGACTCAGAATGAATGACCTAGAATCCTGAAGCACTAAGAAATCAGGAAATTAAATTGAAAAAAGATTGGGTTATTCCCCCAAAACACTTCTCCTAGCCAATCAGCAAGGTCTTATATTTGAATGGCTGCATAAACTTACCTCTCTTCACAATAATAAGTAATATTTGCTCCTGAGTTGAAATCATTTCCTTCAAAATAGCCATAATCTGGATTCCTAGGAGGACCACAGTCTCCTGAGAGAAAGAAGTACAGAAGTGACTGAATTGTGAAGCCAGTTAAACTCAAATAGCAGGGATCCCTAAGTGCAACTGTCTATGCCAACACCAGATGTCCTGATAGTAACACATAAGGAACTTGAGGACATGTTCTCTAGTCATTTCCTTCTAGTCAAAATCATATTTGTCCATGTGAAAGACCCCTTCCCCACCTGGATCATCTTCTGAGTCATTAGGGATTTGGGAGTACATTCTCACTGGCTGGAGCATAAGGAAAGGAAGTTTAAGTTGTAGAGATGCTATTTGCTAGTGTACCAGACAAAGAAAAGAGAAAAAAAAGATTAAATGTAGAGGCTAAGAAGTAACTTTCTGAGGCAAGAGATAAAGCGTATTGGTTGACATCCCCTGTGGAACAGAATTGTCTAATATGAGTGTTCAGATAAAAAGGAGAACAGAACCGGGAGGAAAGGGTATGAGTCTGTGTAAAATTGTGGAAAGAGAATTGAGTGAGGTTCTAGGAGTTCTGAATTTTGATTCTGACTCTTCTATTAACTATGTAGCACTAAAGAAGCCATTCATCCCTCTCAGCTTTTCTTCTTATGAGCAGGATAAATAATATCTCTAAGGTCCCTTTGAACTCTGAGATTACACTCACTTCTCACTTATTGACATAGTTAATTTCCCAAAATCAAGTCATTATGCAAAAAATAGTATTACATAAAAATAGAAGATGACCATATCAGATATAGAGAATGACTACATCAAATTTGACTACTGTCAAATTACATCATTACATAACTGTCAAACCACTGAGAATCATGGCTCAGCCAAGTAGACACATAACCTGAACCATCACAGCCAGAAATACTCTGGCCTCAAACTTGAGAAATCATAACTTCCAGGCATATGTCATCACTGTGCAAAACTGCATGATAGTAGACTTTCTACTATTGTAAATGCAAAATATAAGATAGCAAGACGGTTGCTAAGTGAGGAGTAGTTTGCATCAAATATGTTGCAAATGTTTTTGACAAGTGTGTTACTATGTTTTAATTTTTATGGTATCTTTTACTATATAGAAAAAGGTCTGGTGGTGTAGTGGTTAAGGCATTTGACTGCTAACAAAAGGTTGGTAGTTCAAATCCACTAGCTGCTTTGCTGAAGAAAGATGGGGCAGTCTCCGTCCACAAAGATTTACAGCCTTGGAAGCCCAATGGGGGTTTCCATGAGTCAGAACCAACTGAACGGCAGTGAGTTTTGAGTTTTTACTATATAGAAGTATTGACTTTATAATGTAATTAAATCTGTCCATTTTCTTCCTTTTGACTAGAGTTTTGTGTTACAGCTTCCAAAAAACTCAAACTCACTGCTGTTAAGGCAAATCTGACTCATAGCAACCCCTCCTTGGGTTTCTGAAGCAGAGTCTCTACGGAAGAAGATTGCCCAGTCTTCCTCCTGAGCAGTGGCTGGTGACTTTGAACCGCCAACCTTCTGGTTAGAAGTCAAAATGCCTTAGGCACTACATCACCACAGCTTAGGAAAGCCTTTTCTACTTCAAGATAAAAAACATATTATTTCATATTTTATTTTCATAATTTAATAATTCTGCCTTGTAAATTTATATGTTTAAATCGATTTGGAATTTATTTTTATATGGTGTGAGCTAGAGCTCTAACTTTTTGTTTTCTTCCAAATAGATAGTTAATTATCTAATTTTTATTGAATACAGACTTTTCTCACTGATTTAAAATAAGCTGTTCTACTTTTCTATGGGACCTCTGGTAGCGTAGTGCCTAAGGCATTTGACTGCTAACCAGAAGGCTGGCAGTTCAAACCCAGGACCAATCCTCAGAGGGAGATTGGGCAACCTACTTTTGTAGTGATACCGCCTCGGAAACCCAAGGAGGGGTCACTATGAGTCGGGTCCGACTCGACAGCACATAACAAAAACAATAACTTTTCTATGCCTGTAAATCAATTCAATGGCATCTAACAACAACATTGCTACTTTAATGATATTATTTATTATATTGTTGTTAGGTGCCATCAAGTCAGCTCCAACTTATAACAACCCTGTGTATACCAGAACGAAACACTGCCCGGTCCTGCACAATCCTCACAATCCTTGCTTTGCTTGAGCCCATCATTGCAGCCACTGTCAATCCATCTCATTGAGGGTCTTCCCCTTTTTCACTGACCCTCTACTTTACCAAACATGATATCCTTCTCCAGGGAATGGTCCCTTCTGACAACATGACCAAAGTAGGTGAGATGAAGTCTGGACATTCTCACTTCTAAGGAGTATTTCAGTTGTACTTCTTCCAGGGCAGATTTGTTTGTTCTTCTGGCAGTGCATGATATTGTCATTAAAAAAAAAAAAAAAATTCCCTGCTGCCAAGTCGGTTCCAACTCATAGCAACCCATTCCTGGGTTTCCGAGATGGTATTTCTACGGAAGTAGATTGCCCAGTCTTCCTTCCGAGGAGTCACTGGTGGGTTTGACATGCCAGTTTTCTGGTTAGCAGTCAAATGCCTTAGGCATTACACCATCAGGAAAAAATACAAAATATTTTCAGTATTCTTTGCTGATACCACAATTCAAAGACACCGACTCTTCTTCAGTCTTCCTTCATGCTTTCGCATGCATATGAGTATACCATGGCTTTGGTTAGGCACACCTTAGTCTCCAAAGTGACATCTTTGCTTTCTTAACACACTAAAGAGGTTTTTTGCACCAGATTTACCCAGTGCAATATGACTTCTGTTTTCCTGACTGCCACTTCCATGGATGTTGATTGTGGATCCAAGTAGAATTAAATCCCTGACAACTTCAGTCTTGTCTCCATTTATTGTGATGTTGCTTATTGGTCCAATTGTGAGGATTTTTTTAGTTTTCTTTATGCTGAGGAGTGATCTATATTAATTATTTAAAAAACAAAACAACTTATTGCTGTCATGTTGATTATGACTCATAGCAACCCCCACTGGGTTTGTAAGGCTATAAATCTTTACAGAAGCAGATTGCCCTATCTGTCTTCCAAGGAGCAGATGGTTGGTTCAAACCACCAACCTTTTGGATAGCAGCCAAATGCCTTAACCACTGCACCACCAGAGCTCCTTATAAAAATGGTAGCATAGACAAAACGATATCTCTGTGATAATACTCACTTCAATGTTATTTGTAATAGCAAAAATACAGAAATAAAGTAAATAGCCATCAATATGAGAGATGTGGAATAAATTATGACATATCTGTATGCAGTCATTAAAAAGCAGGAAATTTCTCCTTCAAGGTAGGAACTGAACATAGGCCCATGATTCAACTGTCAGCCAAAAGAGAGACAGGCCTATAAGGTAAACAGTAATATCAGGAGGGTATGCACTCATTAGAACAATCAGGTATATGAAATCAAGAAAACAGCATTTTCCCAGGGACAGAGCTAAGAAGGCAGGAGGGGATAGGAAGGAAGGACAAAGGGAAGGGGTGTCTTCAGGGAGGAAGTGAGAAGAATGCCATTAAAGTATGGAGATCACAGTAAATATCACAAAACAGAATGTATATAGATTGTTGAATGGAAAACCAATTTGCTCTGTAAATTTTCACCCAAATCACAATTTAAAAAAAAATGCTAAGAATAAAAAAATAAAAAGCAGGGGATAAAACTATAAACATTGGTCTTCAGAAGATGCCAAATTATGTTGTCATATGAAAAAAACAATTTAAAAAATATGTACAGTAGGCCAACAGAATAGAATTGAGAACCCAGAAACAGATCCATCAACCTACGGTCAGCTGATCTCTGACAAAGGGCCTAAATCCATTAAAGGGGGAAGAGATTATCTGTTTAACAAATGGTGCTGGCAAAACTGGATATCCATTTCCAGAAAAATGAAACAAGATCTGTACCTCACACCATCCACAAAAACTAACTCCAGATGGATCAAAGACTTAATGTGAAACCTAAAATTATAAAGTTCCTCAAGGAAAAATTAGATGCAAATTTAGGGGCCTTAATATATGGCATAAATAGACTATCAAGCATAACCCAAAATGCACAAACAGGAGAAGAGAAGATGAATGGGACCTTCTAAAAATTAAATTTCTATGTGCTTCCAAAGACTTCTCAAAAGAGAACCTACAGATTGGGAGAAAATGTTAGGCAATGACATATCTGACAAGGGACTTACCTCTAGAATTTATAGAAAACTCCAACATCTTAACAACAAAAAGGCAAATGACCCAATTTAATAATGGGCAGAAGACATGAACAGATACTTCACCAAAGAGCATATTCAGGTGGCCCACAAACACATGAAGAAATGCTCATGATCATTAGCCATTAAACCAAATAAACCAAACTCACTGTCATGAGTCAAATCCGACTCATAGCAACCCCTCCTTGGGTTTCTGAGGCAGTATCACTATGGAAGTAGATTGCCCAACCTTCCTTCTGAGGAGTGGCTGCTGGATTTGAACCACCAGCCTTCTGGATAGCAGTCAGATGCCTTAGGCACTATGCCACCAGAGCTCCTCATTAGCCATTAGAGAGATGCAAATAAAAACAACAAGATACTATCTTGTCCCAGCACTAGTAGCAAAGTTTAACAAGACAGAAAATAACAAATGCTGGCGAGGATGTGGAGAGATTCAGACTCTTATACACTGGCGGTGGGACTCTTAAATGATACCACCACTGTGGAAAGCAGTATGGCAATTCATTAAAAAGTTGGAATTAGAAATAACATTTGACCCAGCCATTCCATTACTAGGTATATATCCTAAAGAAGTGACAGCCAGGACAGATATATGCACACCCATGTTCACTGCAGCACTATTTACAATAGCAAAAAGATGGAAACAACCTAGATGCCTGTGGTAGTTAAGTTTGTGTGTCCACTTGGCTAGGCCTGGTTGAGGGGCTGGGCAGCTGGATGTAGTATTCCCCATGATGAGACTGGTAATCAACTCTATGGTGGAATCTACTGGAAGTAGCTGAGTAGATGCCTTAGGGATGTGGTCTGCTTCCTGTAGATAAGCAGAAGCCTTGGGGAGTGGTCTCTAAGTTATGGGATGCTTGAACCCTGCATGTAGCCTTGTCATTCATTGTTCAGCAGCCTGCCATGCTCTGCCAACCTTGGGACTTTTAATGGACTTGAATTAATGGCCTGCTGTGTGGTTTGGTAACATCGGGACTGTGACCTTTTATTTGTCAACCTTGGGCTTGTTAGCCTCAGCAGCCAGTAGCTGTTGAGTGAAGAGATGCCTCTGGCTTCAGTGGGCCAGGAGCAAGAGGCAGAGCTGAAGCCCAAGGTTGAGGAGCTTTCATACAGCCCCTAGAGCCTGGTACTTCTTGAACTCAGGCTTAAAGCCTCCAAATTGTAAGAGAATAAACTCTATTTGTGAAGGCCATCCCATTTGTGGTATATATTCTTGTCAGAGTGGCACTAGGTAACCAAAACAATGCTCATCAACAGAAGAACTGATAACCAAACTATGGTACATACACACAATGGAATATTACACAACCCTAAAGAATAACATAGAATCTGCAAAACACTGCATAATGTGGATGAACTTGGAGGACATTATGCTGAGTGAAATAAGTCAATCATAAAAAGACAAATATTGTATTAGTCCATTATTGTAAAGAGTAAAGGAAAGGTTTATATATGGAAGGAAATTTTCTTTGTTGGTTACCAGGGGTAGGAGAGGAGGGAAGGGAACACTTTTAGGTAGAGACAAGTATTGACTTAAGTGAAGAGAATGCAATGAACCAAATGTGAGTGATCAACATGGGGGCATTGAGGAAGAGGAAGACATAGAGAGGTGCACAGCAGGTACAAACAATAAAGATGAACCCTTTTGCACACAAAGTAGTATTGCATTGTCAGTGAAGGCAAACATTGATATACAGGTGGATAGATGGGGGGACAGGCTGAACTATTAGGTATGTCTATGCAGGGGACAGTGAGCCCAAGACCATGTATAGGATTGGCAAACAGTGTTTCAGTGTATTTCAGACAGTGTATTTGTATGTTTTGTAAGAATTTCCAGGTATATAGCAGAGCTGACAAGGGACAAGTTTGTAGTCACTTCCAGCTGCCTGGAGGGAGCAAGTAGTTGTACCTGTGGGCTTGGGACCATAGTGCCAGGGGACATCGAGGTCAATTGGCATAACATACTATACAAAAACATTGTTCCCCATCCTACTTTGGTGAGTAGCTACTGGGATCTTAAAAGCTTGTAAGCAGCTATCTAGATGCAATGATGGGTTGCTCCTCATCCAGAGCAAAGAAGAATGAAGAAAATCAAAGATGTGTGGAAATAGTCCAAGCAACTAGTACACCATGTACACCTATACAACTATGAGACCAGAAGAACCATATGGTGCCTGGCAACCACTGTCAACCACTCAGAGGGGGCTCTATGTAGGAGATCCTTGAGAGAGAGAGAGAACAATGTGGAACAAAACTCAGAATCATTAAAAAAAGGGGGGGGGCAGGTTTGCTGGTCTAATAGAGCGTGCAGGAACCACTGAGACTATGGCCCCTAGTTGCCCTTCAGGTCTGGAATTGAACCCACTCCTGTGGCTTCCAGCCAAACAAAAGATAGGCATATGAGGTGAAAATTTACATTAGGTAGATACATTCCTTGAAGAGATCAGTCATGAGAGAATAGAAGGGCTGTGTATGCACAGGGGGACATCTCAGGGGGCAGGAGTACATGGGAGGGAAGGACACAGGGAGGGGAGCTGTTTATTGTGGGAAATTGCAGTCAATGTCATGAGACAAAGTGTATGTGAGCTGCTGTATGGAAAGTGAATTTGGCCTCTGAACATTCACCCAAATCACAATAAAAAATTTTTTTTTTAAAAATGTACAGTAAAGTCCTATGTTTGAAGGTATATATATATACTTGTGTATGTATTTATTTTAAATGTCTGCATAAACAAAAAAGATCACAAAATAAACACATTAAATTGATTATAAAGAGGTGTGAATTATAGGAATTGAAGAGGGACTTTCACCTTTTATTTTATGTCTTTTTAATGGATGAGTTATGGGTCCTTTTTTTGTATGTATTTTTCAAATAAAAACTTTAAATAACTATCTTGAAATTAAAGAAAAAAAAGTCCAATGGCCCAACTACCCTGCATTGGACCTAGCTGGACAGGAATACTACTTGAGAAAAGAATCTCATATGGTTTGGATTTACTTCATTGGAATATATCACTTGGGTTGACACTGGATTCGTGCAAGCTCCACTTTATTTTATGGCTGCCTGCTAGATCCTACAGCTTCCCCAGACACAAAACATAGGAAAGCATCTGTTACAGAAATTGAATTGTGTCCTCCAAAAATATGTGTTGTGAATCCTAACCCCTATACTTGTAGATGTAATTCCATTTGATAATAGGGTTTTCTTTGTTATGTCAGTCAGGCCCTATCAGGGTAGGGTATGTATGAAGCCAATCACCTTGAGGTACAGAAAAAACAAGTAATCATGAATGGGGGAAAGATAGATGCCATGTGGTGATCTCTAAGGAATGTCAAGAAGAATGCTATAGAAGCTGATTTGAGGATTTTCTCTTACAGCAGACAGAGGAAGCCTTCCTTCCCCTTGAGCTGGCACCCTGAATTGAGACTTCCAGCCTCCTGAATTATGAGAAGATAAATTTCCCTTTGGTGAAGCCACCCACTTATAGTATTTCTGTTACAGTAGCAGTAAGAAACTAAGAATTGCAGTGATGTAGGCAATGCCTATGAAGTTACTACTAAACACTATCTCTGGCATTCATCATTGTTTCTCTTGTACTTACTACTTTTGCAGATAGGAATGGGAGGCACCCAGCTGTGGTTTTCTAGACACTGGCTCCAACTGCTGCCCTTGAGGATGTAGTGGTCATCACATTGAAATGTGATTTTGTCGCTGACACTCACAGGCCCAGAGGAATTGAACTTACCATTATACAGCACAGGGTCAGGACAGTGGCCCACTGAAGAAGAAAACAGACAGTGATATGAAAATGCTGTGCTGAAGCCTGCCACAGAGAAGGCCAGACCTCCGCAGGCTTCAGTGAGAGCACAGGAAATGAGACCAAAAGCAGCACATTTTTAGTATGGGCAGGTACATGGTACCGAACCGTATCAATGCAGCATGAGAAAAGACTAGGCTGGCAATGAGTATGGCAGAAAAGGGCTTCGTCATGCACTATAATCACACAAATTGGCAATTGAATTTACTAAAAGAGATTAAACTTATAAGTGAATATTACCAATAGCATGCTCATTATCTTATTATGTTAAGCATTGCTCAAAATTCTTGAGTCCTATGTTGATGTTTTGATTTATCTGTGTAGAAAAACAGAAGAGAATTCAAAAGGATGTGAATTTAGTCATACGAATGAAAAATAAAAATATGCATGTGCTTTATTCTAGAAAACCAAAGGTATAAAGGAGAACTACGCTAGTCATTCTTAAAAACAGTAGTGATTCAGAGGATTCAGACGACTTATTCTCCTTCTCTATGGAGGATACTACAAATGAGCTGTGCAACCTTGAGCAAAAGCCAAAACCACCTGGCTCTGGGTTGTCACATCTGTAAATTCCGAACATAAATTTTTCCCAGTCCAAAAGTTATGTTGTTGTTATGTGCTGTCGAGTCGGACCCAACTCATAGCGATCCCTCCTTGGGTTTCCAAGGCAGTATCACTACAGAAGCAGATTGCCTAACCTTCCTTTTGAGGAGTGGTTTTGAACCGCCAGCCTTCTGGTTAGCAGTCAAGTGCTTTAGGCACTATGCTACCAGAGCTCCTTCAAAAGTTATGTTGTTGCTGTTGTTATGTGCCGTCGAGTCAGCCCTGACTCATAGCGACCCCTCCTTGGGTTTCCAAGGCAGTATCACTACGAAGTAGGATTGCCCAACCTTCCTTCCGAGGAGTGGCTGGTGGGTTCAAAAGTTATAGGATGGGAAAAAAAAAGGAGACATACGGAG